AAATGAAAAAAAATCCATGTTAAATTTATTTTTAAAATGTTGATCTTTTAAAAATATTCAGCCTTGTTCTTAAGTTTTGCAAGTTCACTTTTTATCAAATCAACTATGTGAATACAGAAAGAGAAGACAAACAACCACTTCTCCAGGTTTAGGAAGGCAACAGTTGTTTAAGGAAACAATTGCAACTCTAAAGCCTCCTATGGTTTTACTGGAAAGGGGCATCCAGAAATTGCATACTGCACAATGAAGTTTAAGGTGTAAATAGTAGATCATACGATTGAGGCCAGACAAGAACAACCCTCATTGAAGATCCCCAGCTTTCCTGATTGCCTGGGGGCCGGGGGAGTGAGGGCCACTTTCATGCTGGGTAACCCCACGGGATCTTTATGAAAGTGAGCTGTGTTCTGGCCCAAAGAAGTTATGAACTAAACTCAGTGCAATACAACTGACACAAACAGGTGAGATGGTTCCACAATTTTACATGGATTCATATGAAAACAGTGCATTACAGAGTTTCATAAACATCTTGCCACATGCATATCCACTCTTCGCACAATATGAGGTGCCTAAAACTCTGATATATTTCATTCCCCTCACCAATGGGAAGGAGGAAGATAGATGAAGTATTACCTAGCATTACTCAAGAGATTTGAGATGGAACTGAATCCACCAAGGGTCAAAGCCTGACTACTTAAAGTTACCTTGAATTAATTCGGTAAAGAAAATTAAATCACCTCCACACATTACTTTTTTCCCTCTCCAAATCTTAAAATTCTTTACATCTATGGGTTTGTCACTGCACATATATCCCAGTTCCCCGGGGTTCTTCCATTCTTATCAAGAGTCAATTTTTAAAAATTAAATTTAATTAAATTTTGTTAAAAATTCTTCCAATGCTATTGGCTTTACTTTTTAGCAAAAGCTAAACATGAGATCAAAATGAAGTTTAAAGTTATGAATCCTAAGCCTCAGGCCTACCTTTCCTTACACACACAGTGCCACTTCTTTTAGTCTTTCAAAAAGCATATTTTCTTCAGAGAGACTTATTTTCCTACCTCATGCCTTTTCTACAGAAATCAAAAGCTAGAAAGCTTATTCTAATATTACTGTCTAGAGTCAGAAAGAAAACAGTGTACAAAAAGTTGCTCAGTAAGCAAGCAGATCCCAAAGCTATGCATGGTTTGGGTCACAGGGCAGATGGGTGGAGTTGGAGCACAGCAGACACTAATCCTACTGGGCTGGTGGGAGGGAAAATATCCCAGTCAAAGCATGCATATGTGTGTGCACACAAAGCTTGCTGAGTTGGGGATGCAAACACAAAGGATGCCTGTGGAGAACAGTTACATCAAAAATCTAAAGGGATTCTTTTACTATCTGAAATTATCATGTTTAATGATATGGCTGTTAAGCTCAAAAGCATTAAGGCTACAAGTTCCTTACACAACAGTGGATGTGTATTCTTAGACTAGTAAGTATCTGCTCTCTAGCAAATACTGCACCAAACATCTTTTCTAAGTTTTGCCTGCTACAACAGGTGAGACTCCTCAGTCAAAACAGGCAGGGGTTACACCACTGCCACTGCGAGTCATTAGCCTGCTGCTGAGTGGAAATCATTATTAATGAAGACAAATATTCTGGGAAAACTGGGCATGTAAGCGCAGATTCTGGCATGACCTTACCCTTTTTTTACAGAGTTACGTTTCCCTTTCATCCAGGCTTAAGCTGCAAAACACGTTTCAAATTGTTAGCACTGTCTCTGATTTGAACATTTGGGTGCAACTGCCCATCCCTGATTATTCTTGTGCACTTGGATACCAGATTAAAGATCCTTTTTAGATTCGGTTATCAGCCTGCAGCTCCCTCCCAGCCTCTCTTTTCTAGAAAATTCTATTATTGTGGTAAGACAAAGACACCACAGCAAAGAAGCTAAACAGAACAATGTCCCATGAGGACATAGAAACCAGAGCTTTAACTGACTTTCGTCATGACTACAACGAAAGGTAGCTTTGTCTTGTACAGGATACTGGGGGAGAGACACAAAATAAAAGTTTAATTTAAAACTTCCTAGAATAGAAAGCAATTCAAACATAAGGCAGACAAGACTTGTGCAAAACTGAATACATTTGACTTCAAAGGATAATTATTTTCCTGTGCACCTAATAGAATGTAATTTTCACCCAGGTCCTGCTTACAATCGTCGAACAAAATATGCTCCTCCAAGATGTAAGATATAAAATCTCCTACACACCCAGTCAAGTTTGGTTACCATTTGCTATGATGCTAAGATCCCAGTTTTTAACTCTTCCGTGCATTTTACATTTGACTCAAACCTTAGGTTCTGAGAGATTATTTGTGAACTGAGCAATGAATTCAAATAACACAGAACATCTATAAAGCAAAATTACTTTGACACATGAGCTGACATATTCATTTCACTGTATATATTCTATGATCTTTTTCTCAAATTAATGTCAGAAAACGCAATATGTAGTAAGACACAGTTTGCACACTCCTATCGTGGTGATATAGCTCTTGACCTTGGTACAAGGATTGAGAGGTTTTTTGAAAACCTTTTACCAACATTTACCATGAATTATGACAGCTCTAGCTATGTTGATGGTTCCACAGGTATTTAGTCTCTGGGATGACATGAAAGACAACAGATAAATTCATGTACGAAGAAGAAGACAATAAATCAAGAGTTCCGTGCTATGCTGAACTCCAAACAAATTCTGAAGAATCTCTTAAAAGTATCAACAACATTAAAAAATAGAATAAAATACTCTGTATTTACAAGAAGGTGCTTAAACTAGCCTACCTTGATTCACCTTAGATAACTGGGTCTATAAGCAGTAGGCAATATGTTAGATCTAATATAACCAGCCTTCCTCACGCTAAGGTCTCATGGAATATTTAATGCTAAGTTTTGACCCAATGACTTCCAGATGTCCATTGGCACCTAAATTATTCTGCTTATCCAATGGGAAAACCACTAAGAGAATAACCAAACCAGCAGACTAAGTGGATAGGAGGCATCCAAGTGCACTTACAAGCACAAATCCAACCATCCCCTGGGCTGCATCCAAACCAGCGGGGGCACAGGGCGAGGAGGATGATTCTCCCTTTGTACTCCACTCTCATCCCACCTGGAGCACTGCGTGCACCTCTGGGAATCACGGCAGATATGGACCTGGCAGAGTGGGCCCAGAGGAGGTCACCAAAACCATCAGAGAACTAGAAGGCCTCTCCTATGGAGACAGGCCAGGAAGTTGGGGTTGTTCAGCCTGGAGAAGACTTCAGGGAAGTTTTACTGCAGCTTTCCAGTAAATAAAGGGATTTATAAGAAAAATGGAGAGAGACTTTTTACCAAGACTTGTAGTGATAGGACAAGGGATAATGGTTTTCAACTGAAAGGGACATACTGACAAAATTTTTCATGATGACAGTGGAGAGATATTAGAGCACACTGCACAGGGAAGCTGAGGCTGCCCCATCCCTGGCAGTGTTCCAGGCCAGGCTGGACGGGACTTGGAGCAACCGGGGATAGTGGAAGGTGTCCCTGCCCACGGAAGACAGGGTGGCCTTTAAAGGTCCCCTTCAAACCAAATCACTCTATGATTCCCCTCCAAAATAACTACCAAAGAGACACAGCAATCAATGCAGAGGGACTGCACTTCCAGCTTTTCTTACCTGCAGGCATACAGCACGTTGGACATAAAAGCGATAGGGTTAGTCCTGCCAGAGGTGTCCGGGACACACACAGCAACCGAAGGAAAAGAGGAAGCCTGGGAACACAGAGCAAAAGACACTTTAATTAGGACTACAGTGAGCAATAGCCAAGTCATTCACACAGACAGCTTCACTGTCCAGTCATACAGAAAGCACTCACCAAGGCCTCGGTTAGGATGGTTCCTGACGCTGACCAGGCAAATCCCTCCATTTGCCCCGGGGTGTCAAGAATAACATCCCTGGTAAGAAGTCACCCCCAACAACAAAAAGGGAAAATTAGTGAAGCACAGGGTCCTGTTCTGACTAGATTACCACCAGCATTCAATAGCAAATGATGTGACTAGACTGGTACAGATGAGAAAACCTTCTCCCAAACAGTGATGAGATTTATGGGCACGCTTGAAAATCTCCTGTGAGAAATTTGCAACTAAGAAGTATGTGCTATCTTGAGTTGAAGGCATCAATTTGACAGACACTTAGTACAGCAAACTCTTCAGAAGAAGAATTAATTGCTGCCTCTTTGAACAGTAGGTGAGAGACAATGACAGTCTAAGGGAAGACAAGAAAAGCAGAACTGTAATCAGCAGACTTTTCTTCCATCTCTCCCAAGAAAGTCTAGTTTATCTGTTCTAATTCTATGCCCTTTTCTACATGAAACTTAGAC